GTTGTGTATCCTCCAAGATCCCTGTGACCATGAACAGCACCTGGAGGTCCCAAAGAAGGAACTCCGAAAGAATCCTCCCAAGAGAACTTCTCCGTTGCTGGCAGGATCCGGCCCGCAAGGGCGCCCCGAAGCTCCCATTTCATTGTTCCCTTTTTGGTCGTTTTTGCATAACGCCTGGATTCAACAGGATCTTGGCCAGCTTTTAGTTTCAGGATGGGCAAATGATCATCAATAAGTAGAAAAAGAATGAAAAAGAACACTTCCAGAACACCCGTCGGGCGCCCTCATGTCGTGCCTGGAACCCCCAGGTGCCATGGAGACCTAGGTCACGTAGAGGATTCTGCGCAGAGTCCCAGCTGACCCGGGACCGGAACCCGTGGTCATTCGGCCCATTTCCGTGGACACAGTGACCGAGGACCGCATCCGGTCACGGCGCCGACGGCGCGACGGTCGCTTTTAAAAAGGAGACGAAGCCACGCGAAGTCGAAGGGCCGGTTGAGTCGAACATCCAGCAGCTGAGGTTGAAAACCCGCCATGTGTCGTGATGCACGTGCTCATCCAAAAGCTGTTTTGCTGCAGATTCCGTGGTCGAACACGGATGGACCGCCTTCCCAGCTTCCGAACTTCGGATTGGACCGGATTTGGACCACTTGGGATCCTTCCAGCCAAGGCGGACCGATCACCAACCCCAACCCGACCAGTCCGTCACCCCCATCGCGAAGGGAATTGTCCACTGGGAACCCAGAACAGCAAGCTGGAGCCTTTGAACCAGCAAGCTGGAGCCCGACACATACGCTTTTGATGTATTCTAAGCCTCACCGATCACATGGACCACCCATCTCTTTCTGCAAAAAAATCGATGCCCCACGTGTCATGTTCTGTTCTCCTGACCGCGTGGCCTTTGTTTCGCTGTTCGCTGGGCCCAGGAAGGGAAACTCCGTCTTTTTGGTGGCGAACAAGCCGCTGCCCCAGCGGTGACGCGTGCATACGCGTGCGGCGTGTGTGGTGCCGTTGCGGCGTCTCATGAGGTGCGGTTGACATGGGTTGACTCATGAGATGGGTTTTAGAATGTTTTGGAGATGGATGTATAATGTATAATCTGATATATACTGATATACTGATATATATATATATATACACATAGATGGCGATACATAAGATGTATGGTTCAGCAAGAACAATCTTTCTGAACACACATCGCACACACACACACGAAAGGAACCAGGAAACAACAGTTCTAATGTGATGAAGCCAATCCTCTAAGCAGCATCTTGCAAGCTCTTACATGGCTAGCTAAGAGGCAGTTGTCTGAGCTCCGTGTCAAGACCCTGGGCCCCATAGAATGCGTTGTTGTTCTCTTGGGTGGGGGTTTTGTTCTAAAGATTGTGTCATTGTGTTAGCCATAGGATGGGAGGTTATTGTTCATTTAAGGTTTAAGGTCTGGGGGGGCATCGACATAGATGAACTTGCCATCAAGATGCTGAACATGCCTTGGGGGGCTCCTGACCAAAGGGTGGAGCGAACTTAGGGGTCTTTGCGCTGAGGATTGACAAAGAGCCATTAGCAGCAGGGTGCTCAGCGGAGGGTGCGGGAGCAGGTGACTAATCTTCAACCATCTCAACTCTTTTGTTGGGGGCCAAGAATGTAGAACATCCGCAACAACGTTAGATCAAGAAGAGCTATACGGCTATACAATATATATATATATACATGCAAATATGTCGACTTTCGTGAAAGATTGCACATGACGCACGTGTTTCTCCGACGTTCCGGAACGCTGCATGCCACCTTTCGTGAACGTTTCCTAGGAGGAGACGCAGAAGACCATGGCTGCCGCACGGGCCTTCGCTGAGATCAAAGAGCTCGGGGGACCCAGATGTGGCTCACCGTAAATCCGAAGAACACATACGTAAATCCTGGGGATCCCCATGACCATGTCCACTAGGAAATGGGTGGCCTTAAGGCCTTATACTGTATATAGGCCCAGATGTTCAATCCCAGAGCTGTCGTGGAGAGTGAACAGTTGGATCCAAACGGGGTGGGTTTTGGGACAAGTTTTCTGTCGCCTATGACATCAGCAGAATCAAGGCTCCTGTCTGACAGGTTCCTTTTTTTAACATGTAAAATCACGGTTCAATGGCCAATTGGTTGCAGCTCCTACTTCGATCATCTAACTATCAAAAAGTGGTCCATGTGTTCCACCCTTTACGGATCAGCCTTCCCAGCCTATCTCCTCTCCGCCTGTCGCCGGCTCAACGCTTCAACGCTGCCCGCGCTCCCACTGCGCTCGCCCGCGCTCGCCGCGGCTCAGGCTGCCCTACTTCGAGGTGGCGCGACGTATCGATGCGATCGATATCCATCGATGCGATGTGTTCCAACAGAGGTTGAAGGACCGTTTGACTATGTTTGACTATCTCACAGGTACACCAGCAGTAAGGTCCTATTTACGGCCACGTCTCCACCTCTCTTGGTGACACTCCGAATGAGGAACATGGCGATGGTGACATGGTTGTGGAACATGGCGGATGGCAACGGCGCGGTTTTGGCATCCACTTGAAGTGGAGCGGGTGAACTCCACTTCCATGTCCGCTTCCAGGGAACTGTGACCTCAGACTTTTGCAGGGTGAAGAGCTAGGTTCATAGCACTTGAAGTGGAGCGAACAGTTCATTCAGTAGACCCTCCACAACACCTAGCTAAGCTACATAATCACTGTATCTCTAGAGTCAAGGAAATCTCTGTCCAGAGGTTCAAATCCCAAGCTTAAGCCATGTCTCCCGCATCCCGCTCTGAAAGCATCTTACTACCCGCCATCCTTCACTCACCTACACGATGATCCTGTCGAGAAAGCAGAGACGACGCGCCTTCGCGCGCGCCGACACGCCGACGCGCCGACGCGCGCGCCGTCGCGCCGACACGCCCACCCGCATGCGGCGGTGTGGAGGTCTCGGCCTTGAAGTTCCTTCGGGTCCGGAAGCTCTTTCGTGAGATGGTGGAGCACATCGTTCTGCAGCCGGGGATCTCGTACTGCAGCCGTGCTGCGGGCGGGAGGTCTGGGCGACGGCCTCTGCATCGCCTCTCTCTTGCTTTCTTCAGACTAGTCACTGGGTGGGGTTGTTTGGAATGCGGAGGCATGCTTGCGTTTGGTGATTTTGGGGGCTTTCGTAGCAGCTATAGCTGATGGCAACTAAAGGCATACTGCTGAAGCGGAATAGAGCCAATTTGCAGAGAAACTCATGATTCTCTCGTGACTGAGGTGCCGGGTTTCCAGTCAAACACCGTTCTCACCATTCTAGATCGGGCTTCCCAACCAGGCACTAGCTCACTTTCCTCACTTTCCAAGGGGAGAGCCCAGCACATTGCCAATTTGTTCCCACTTAATCTCAGTTCGTGTACCAAAAAGACACGCACAGATATAATAGTATATATATATATAGTATGTATATATATATTATATATATATATACACATAGACTACAATAATAGTATATAGAGATCACATAATAGATATATCGATCTATATATAGTGTGCCTCTCCGTTCTTGAGTCTTCCGCCCTTCACCCCCGGCACCGCTCCGGACGAAAGGCCTCAGCTCTGGAGCTCGGACTCGTTGAAGGACGGAGCGGGGGGCCGGGGCAACGGGATGGGCGGTTGAGGTAGGGCGGTTGACGTGGGACGCACCAATCTACAGAGAGGACAGGGTGACTTCATACAGTCAAACAAAAACAGGTATTGATTGCTTGTTTTTGCACTCGGGCTTGCCTGCTCCCGGATCATGTTTTTGTTTTTTGTTTCCTTTTCAACAGTTCAATTCACATTCCACTGACACGCCGGTTGCCGGCAGGCGCGCGACGCGAGTGAGACGCCGCCACCAAGGAGTTCTACCAAAACAAGAAGAAGGTCTCGGTGCAGGCAGAGAACTGCTCGCTTCAGTGAAGGCACCCTGCTGCGCCTGAGAGTCTCGAGTGGAGTAGAGGTCGGGAGCTTCAGCCACGGTCGTTCGGTGCACCTCTCGAGGCTTGTAAGGGATCAAACATCGTTCGCTCGGCATGCGAATATTGGCGGGGCGTCGTTGCGGGGGTGAAGATGGGTTGCAGCACCTCTTGCGAAAAACACATGTCTATCCCCCCTTGAGCGCCTCCCCAAAGAGGTCACTGGTGGTGTCCCTGAAGTCCCTCCCACTTCCGCGAGGCTGTGTGGCGACACGACTCGCCACCTTCCCAAAGACCTGGAAGGTGGTCGAGGTGCGACCCAGCGCCCCAAAAAGGCGACCGGTGCCGCCGATGTGGTGACGGTTGGGGTGCAGAGAGCGCCAACAGTGTGGTAACACCTATAGGGGCTCTTAGACCTCCAGACCTTACACCTTTAGACTCTTAGATCTCTAAACCTTACACCAGACTAGGCGCTGGGGTCTCTTGCCGGGGTAACGGTTTGCTGAACAGGCATGGCAGAAGAAGGGAGCATCGTGAAGCGTTGGGACTGGAACAATGAGTGCCACGCAGCCGCGAAAACAGGGACAAAGATTCCCTTTCTGAGAGATAATCAGGCTAACAGCGCACCTAAAATCATCCAAAACCCACAGGGACTCTGGCCCCCGACCGGAAGACAAGTACCAAACCGAACCTTGATGTGCAGGGGCAAATGAGAAAGCCGAACTTGGATCCAATTTCAAACTGCCATGCTGTTCCCTTGCAAAATTCCGAGACTCATTGGGTGGGAAGGTATATGCAGCGTATGCACCTCATCATCCCACTCTCCGTTCCCACATTGTGGAGTCCTTCAGAAACAAGAGATCTCATGGTAGGATGGCAAGAATTCTCCGTTCCCGCTCAGAGGGAACCCCAAGGCAGTTCCCTTGAAGGGTTTGGTGCGGTGGGGCTCCTTTTTGGAGGGCCCGGTTTGGTGCGTCAACTAACTGACTTGAATGCTTCATATCAAATACTGCTAATTACTGCTGCTATACCCTAAGGACTTGTTCCTGAAAATGCCAAGAGTCCAGCAGTCGAACTCAACCTGTGAGACATGGTAAACGTGGAAGTGCCTGCCATGGCGCCGGTGACACACTCAACACCGCCGTGGTGGGCGGCGATGGTGGGATCTGCTGTAGAATGTCGGCGCTAGCCACTTGGTGTGCGGAAGGGATGAACGTCTGGGACAGCTCTATATATATATATACATACATATGTACAAAACATATATATATATATATGTGCCAGGACCTTCCCAGTGACCTTTTGAGATCCCAGAATGAGGTCACTTAGGCCTTGAACAGGTCACTTACCAATTCTTATACGAGGTCACTGACTGAAAAGGTCCTGGTGTACTATATGCCAATGGCGGATTGAAACCTACTGTAGGCTTCCCTTAGGGCTCCTGCCCCACATCCTCAGACCAGCTTGTTGGAGTGGGTGGTCGTCGGGGGGGACAGCGTCCCTACCTCTGATGTGAGCCAGGAGCCCTGGGGTTGGGTCGCTCTACCGTAAGAAACCGTACGAGTCTGGTGGTGACATGACCACATGTGGTGTCTTCCCCCCCCCCACAGGTGATAGCAGGTGTGAAATGGTCCACGTCTCAAGGATTCGAAACAAGCCTCGGTCCCTCGAGGTCTTTTTCTCGGTCCTTCTAGGTGCTGGCGCTGGTCTTTAGGTGATCATCCCTAACTGAAATGAATTCCATTCCGCCCTTCCGTCGCGGTGTGAACACGCAGGCCCTCTAGTGAGGCCCTTCCGCCCTTCCACCCTTCCTCTGAGCCGCCCAGGAACTCTTTAGCGTGACGGTGTTGGGCAGTGCCAAGAGTGGCAAAACCACCTTGATTAATGCCTTCATCAGCCATTCCTTCCTGGCGGTGCCGGAGGAGAACTCGGAGTTGAGACACCCAGGGGTTGACCTGGACATACCTGGACATGCTCGAAATTCTAGGAGTTGCGACGCTCGACCGACCCGCTGATCCTGCTTGCCTTTTTCCCACTGCGTCGCTCGACCGACCCGCCGCGCCCACCGACCGGCAGGAGACGTTGGCCCCAGAGCTCTACTACAAGACGATGAGCGTGCCGGCGCCCAGTCCGGCGCCCCAGTGGGGTCCGGTCCAAGTCCCTAAGCGACTGGGTCCAAGTCCGTTTGTTGGTTCTTTTTGTTGGTTCTTAGTGGGTGTTTAGGCTGTTCACTGAGTGACCAGTGGAGAGAGCCTCAGTGATGGCAAGCAGCGACAGCACCGACCGGATGGCCACAGATTGGCTGAATATCCCTTCGAGCGCCATGGGGTTTCTTGTTTGGGGTGGCTTAGGGGTGAACCTTGGGGGGGAAGGCATACCCCACGCTTGTGACACCTCAAGCTTGACTCTCGGAACGGAGACTCCCAACCCGGACCTGACCGCTCTGGTGGAGCCGGCGAGCTTCGGAAATAGACCGGTCGCTCAAGCACACCACTTTCCTTTTGCTGCTAAATGCACACCACTTTAGAACGCAGCTTTTCAAAACGACAGAAACGCAAGGTCTTCCAATGCCTATATAGCCTATAGCTTAGCGGTATACATGCTAAAACGCCACCCAGTCTTCAGTCTGAGTTGCAAAAGGCCTCCCAAACACTGATCGCGCCCTCCCTCGCCTCGCCACCCGGATCGCGCCGAAGCCGAATTCGCCGCACCGCCGCCGGATGGGACCGATTCGCCTTTCCCGCGGATCGCCGAACGAATGGAGAGGTGGAACCTCTGCGCCTCCGATTCCCATCTTGGTGGAGATGCTTGAGCGAAGTGTTAATTTTTTTGGGGGGATGGATTTTTTTGGGATGTCATTGGGGGATGGAGTGGGTGTGTGAGGGTGTGCTTGTTACGCTTGTTGAGGCGTTTGTCTGACGTGGGGGACGTCCAGAATCGGCGCAAAAAGCCCGGGGACGGGGACGACTTAAAGGATACCTGGCTTTTGATGGACGTGGACTATCCGGCTTCTTTCCGTGGCAGTGGTTTGTTCGTGGATGGGTGGATCTGATGAGGGGACGGGGACGGGTCTCCGCTCAGAAACGGGCTGGAACAGGGAACAAGGGAAGCGGAAATGCGAATTCTACAGGTCTGAGATGATGAGCTTCCCAGGACCCCCAGTGGTGGTGAATGGACACCCCGAGGTTTGACGACCCCGGGGCTTTCCGGGGCTTTGGAAAGGGGCTATTCATTGGACACCCGAAAGACGCCCTATGGTGCTGGTATGTGAATGAGCTCTCACCTCTAAGAGCATCGACCGTGCTCGACTCGCCCTGGCGGTGGACGAGTCGGGCGAAGCATGGTCCATCCCCATGTCTCACTGAAGGTGGAAGTGAACAACCAGCTTCAAAATGCTTCAAAACACGGATTGCAGTCTTGTTGCCTTCATTTTCGAAGCCAAGCTAGAAAAAAACACCTTCAATTTGATCAGCTGGCAGCTGATTCCATCGCCCCCCCAGGACTCCGAAGGCCTTCCAACGGATGGGGGGGGTCCGTCCCATCCCCATCCCCGGTCCCCGGTCCACGCCCGGTCTCCAGGATCGAGGACACCTTCGCACCCAGCGCGGAGGGCGTGGGTCTCATGGCCTCTCGGCCCGGGAAAGCAGTGGAGCGACGGTCGGCGACGTTGAGGCCGGTGTTGGAGTGGAAGAAAGGGCCAGGAGTCCAGGTTAGTCCAGGTTTCTTGCAGGTTAGTGCAGTTTTCTTTTTTTCACACTTGTTTTGCCCACGCTTTTTTTCTTCAGGTCGCCTCGCATGATCAGCTGGAGGGAGTAATTCATAACCGAGGGCATGGATATAGGTTTTCACCGTCTACGCACCGGTGGTCGGTACCAGTACATGAGTCCTTGCAGAGATTTGCGACGGTATGGGCCTTTTGCAGCGACTGTCCGACAAAGTATCTCAAGCTAAGCACAGCTTGGGGAGCTTGGGAATGCCTCACTTTGATGCGAAGCACGCTTGATCTCCACCAGGATCCGCAACTCTGTGAGCCTGTGAGTCTGTAACTGGTTGGGGAATGACCTCTCCAGGGGTGTCGTTTGTTCTTCGGCCGGATTCGAATCCTTTTGTTCACGGCGCCCAGTTGACGCTTTGTCTCAGTCGGTGGATCCCAGGTACCACTGGGTGAATCTCGGTGAAGTCTAGTGGTAGGTTGCGTCCTCCAGGCGCTTCCGCTTGCTTGCGCGAACAGGGGGGTGTGCTTGACCCGTGGGACTGCTGGCCCCGTGGTTTTGTTCGACCTCGCTTACCCGAGGAGCAGTTCTTGACCTCGCAGCGTGATCATGTGAAGAGTGAACACTTGGAGCTCTTGGCCGGCTTCAACCTGCCTGAGGCCCGACGGGTCCGACCCGACCCATGCTTCGCCGAAAGGTGGCTTCGGGATGTTCGGAGCGGGTCCGGAGAGGAGCCGAGTTCGGACGGGTCGATGGGTCCCAAAGGGCCGGTGTAAAAAGAAGAAAAGGAGCCCAGAGTGAAGCGACGGGTTTGGTGTGGTGCAGTGAAGATTTAGAGCTGGGGCAAGATCACCCTGTGCCAAAGCATGGGGTGATAGCAGTGAGAGCCTGGTTGTGGCAGTGCGGTAGTAATTTATAGTGAAACTGAGCAGTAAAACATAGTAAAGCAGTATTATGCTCACAGTTTGCATGTGAAAGGGGGTTTGGTCCAAGGCTGACCAGCTGCGCTTCTGAAGTTAGAGGTGACCTTGCGAATGCTGGGACCATCATGTCCCTGACCATGTGGGTGTATCCCTGACAGTCCCTAGAGGCGAGCGAGCCTCCTGTGCAGGCTGGCGAGTATCGGCCGCTCTCCAAGACCAGGATGGGCTTTCTGCCTCTTTGCCGCAGAGCGTGCGGCAAACGGGGGGGGCGCATACAGCAGTACCGTGCTGATAGGCAGCCCACTGGGACCGCAGTGACTTCGAGCCCCACTCAACCTGCTTTCCACCAAGCTCCCGCGGCTCCCCACGGCGACGGTTCCGCGGTCCGAGCCGAGCCGCGCTTCCGCCCCAAGCCACCCCAGGTTGGTCTTCGACGTCTGGTCCGAGGCCTCGCTCCAGGAGGCCGTCCGCGCCGAGCCGCCTGAGCCGGTCCGACCCCCCGAGCCACAGCTCCCGGTGTTTGGGGGGTGCAGGATGGGCCAGGCCGAGACCGTGTGAAAACCACCGAGGACGCCGGTTTTGGCCAACGAAAAGACCGGGCGGGTTCCCAGATGGCGGCCGATCTCGATCTCGATCTCCTCTCGATCTTGCGCTGTGGACCGAGCGATGGTCCTGTCATGCGGCGAGAGTCGCCAGGCCATCAAGCTGCATCGTGGCCTCCAAGACCACGGGGGTGCCGATGGCCGGGCACTCCCAAACGACTGCGGCACAGCGAGGGGTGTGAGTTTTTGGGGTGCGCGCTTATTGCGTGCACCCGGGACATGGGAGGTTTTTGGGAGGATTACTAGCAGGGAGTTGGGTGCATCCCAAGTGTTGCAGTCATTACTTCCTGGCCGTGGGAAACCTGCCCAGTAACTGGAAGAGTTTTTGCTCCACGCGGCCCATGCGAGTCATTTGAGTGTCTTCGGATTTCATGGTCTTTGTACCTGGACCTTCAAGGGGTGTCCAATGGAGGTCCCTTAGTGGTGTGGGGGCTTCCATTGGGCACCCCTTGGAAGGTCCTGGTAGTCCTCCAAGTGCTTTTGGGCGGGGGCCATGCCATCCACTTCCACCATGATCCTTTTAGCGGAGTGTACCGCTTGACAGCAGGCAGTGGCACTTGAGATGTTGCACCATGAACACGACTCGATCCGGATCGAGCAGCATGCAGCATGATCTGAAAGCGGGCAACTGTACCTGTAGATCAGCTGCTGCACAGTGCCCAGGAAAACGCCTCTGAATCACATCTTTATTTAACAATATTTAAGCCTTTACTTGGAAGGATTGAACATGATTGAACCATCTTGAACCCACTGGCTCTTTTGTTTTGAAACGACCAACCCGTCGTCCCAGTCGTCTCAATCCCTCCGGCTCAAAACGCGGAGCACAGGTTCCGTCCTGTGCCTGGTGGGCAACAAGGCCCGAGGACAATCGGGCCGATGGTGCCGGTGACAGCACGGCTGAGCTATACCAGGGTGCTCTTTAAGTCTTGTAGGTCTCAGAATTGGATGGTGCAAGACTGCAAGAGTCCCAGAGATTCGCCTTCATGAAAGGGCTGTTTGGTTGTATGTGATCGTCGTCTAACCAGTCCACATCAGCCCGCCGTCGAACATCTTTGTTCTCGGAGCGTCACCACGTAAAGACCCCTTGTTGTGGTCGTCCGATGTCCTTTGCATTGCTTGGGCTTCCAAAGATGGGGCGAGAGTTTAGGCCCATCGTCACGGACAAGGAAGTTGCGAAGCCCGACTTCAGACGGCTATAGCTTGACTCTCTGGACGGCTAAGGGATATTGTGCGAAACTAGCATTTAACCATGACCAGTTTAACTTGACCACGACCAGTTTACGTCGCTAAATCTCCCGTGGTTAAATGCTGGTCTCGTGTCATATCCTGCAGAACATGGAACGAAACAGGGCTTGGACAGAATGAAACAGCGGATGGCAGGGTGAGTTATAGGCATCACATGGCCTCACCGACCATCCAGAAAAGGGTGGGCCGACTTTCTACCATCCTGTTTGAGTGCCCAAGATCTGATGCTGAGTGCCCAAGATCTGATGCTGAGTGCCCCAGATCTGATGCTGAGTGCCCCAGATCTGATGCTGAGTGCCCCAGATCTGATGCTGCGGCGTTCATCGGGGTCTCCCCCCATGGGTGGTGTGTTTCCCTGCAACACCCGGGCCAGACCTGGGACGAGTCTCTCCGTTATCTGATTGGTCCCCTCCTGTGAGGCAGACCGGGCGGCCGGTGCCCAGGAGCAGATCAGGGCGGCACAAAGGCGAGGCGGGTAGCGGATTGCGGGGAGGTGGTTGCTTTGGAGTGGTATTGGAACGGAGGTTTTCAGCATTCACCGGAAAGCGGGGGGGTTGCAGATTTCCCCACTTAATCTTTCTAACTGGAGTTGCGACCTGGACAGAACGTCTTTCGTTCATCATCGTGTGATATCGTACGATGTTCCATGCACCCAGCTCCCATTTGCCATCATCCGCCAAGTCCGAAGACACCCGGTGGTCCGACGCGTCGACGGGTCGGGCATCCTTCCGGCACTGCCCCGGGCACGCCGCCCGGGCGGGCGGCTTGAGACCCCCGATCTCCAGAGGGCGCTGCAGCGGTCAAGTCAGCAGGTCGTGGCGCGGGGGGGAAATCCGTGCCCTCCGGAGCGGTGACCGAACTCTTCTCAGGGTTTGGGGGTCCGAAGAAGCCGCCAGTGAAAGACCTGGCGAGGGTACGGCGTACAGCGAACCAAAAAAGAGGAGTTGACTCTCAAGATCCATACCGAGCTCCCGCGTTGAGGGGAAAGTTCGACATAGGGTTATAACGTTAGTTATAGGCTATAGGGGCTAGTTTACTCTGTCCTACTCGTATGCCTGCCCTGGGCCCTGCTGTCGGCAGCGCCGAGAATGACCCAGGTATGCCGCAGAGAATGAGCTGATGTTCTTCCAATTGGCCGCCACGGACTTGCGAAAGGCGTGGGAGCCGTGCGCGGAAAACATGTGAGTTCCGACAGCATGTGGTGAAGTGGAGTGTTTCGAGCATGTGAAAAACCAAAGTCACATTGCCCAGGTTTTTCCTCACGGCCGGTGGGTTGATTTGGATTTATTTGGCCAAAAGGTGTTGGTGTCAGTCAGGGTGGTGCAATATGGCCGCTTGCAGAGTCGCTGGATCTCAGTGGGTCTATTGATGTCGTCGACCTGGACCTGAACAAGGGGTGGATCTCGTCGACCTGGAGGTCCCTTAGTGGGCTGGGGCTTCCATTGGGTACCCCTTGGAAGGTCCTGGTATTTATATACGCTTGGGATCTCTTGGGGTAAATGTGGATGTATACAGTATGCATTCATGAGCTCAAAGCTCTCACAGGTGGGTGACCCCATGGAGCCCACGCTTTGGAGACATGGTCACCAATGGTCACCATACCCAAATGCTTCAAAATCCGGGCGCGTCCTTCTCACTAGGTGCGTTTGCTCTTTCGCCAGCTGCTCAGTGCCATCTACGCCAAGCCGCAGCTCTGGAGGCCCGGGCGCACGGTGCGCCCGCTTCGCCAAAGACCGAGGGTCGAGAGTGAGGGAGGAATCAGATGGGGGAGGGCGGGTCAAAAGGAAAGCTTCCCAACGTGCGTGCTTCATGGAACTTTGCTTTCCAAGGGCGACCTTTTGTCGCTCAGGTCACAGGTCTTTTCATGTAGACGCAAAGCCATAAAGCCCCCCCTGTATTGTGAAGAGGTTGATTGAATCCAGAATCCAAATGTTCTTTTCTCTCAATCAAGAGTCTACTTTCTCATTTTGGGTTTTGTTTGCCGCAACCATCCTGACTTCCATCAGTCAGCGCCCAGCATTCTTGAGCGCTTGCAGAGCGTGTGTGACAGCTGGCTGTGTTTGTTGCGTGTGACAGCTGGTTGTGAGTCAAAATCTCCTTCATCAAAGCATGGAAGGTTGACATCCCTAATCATCGGATTTGGCGCATTTTTGGGTGGTTCACCAGGGAGTGTATCCCAGGCAACCTCTATAGAAGGAACGAGGGTTTTCGATGGGTCTATGGGTTTAGTGTTTGTTCATGGTTTGCCTGGATCCGGCTTGGACGGCGCCAATCAGACTCGTGCCACGTGAATGAATCCAGGTGCCCATATGTACACATGACACCCCTCAGATGTCAGCCTTGGGTGCTCTCGTTCTTGGTTTAAAGTGATCAGAAAATGCCCTAAATGATCCACGACATAGGTCACTTGGGAGTACCAGTCCGTGGGCTGTCAGTGGCATTCATGAGGCATTCATCAGGCCATGCAACCTTACCTCCCGCCCAGCCTCACACCCAGCAGCTCTCACACCTGCATTGACGCTGAAGCCTCCTTTCAGTCGAGGTGGTGCAGAGAGGTTCCAGTTTGGGGCCACCATGATTTTCTTGGATTTGCAAATTTTGGTTTTGCTTAGGGTGATGTTTATTGTCCCTACGGGTGAATCCTGCTCTGGATCTTTGGTGAACTTTGTTTTTCTCCGGCTCCTAAAGCATATCCAAGAACAAACCGTGCCAAGCTTGTTCTCGCACCAGGTTGGACCGGCCGCGGCGGAGGGTGGGCAGTCGTGTGGAGGAGCGTCGGTGTGTCGGTGTTGCGGGTGTCTCCAGCAATTGGAACGGCCTCCCTTCTGACATGTACAGGATACAGGATGATACAGGCGGCATAGTTGAATGATGTTGAATGAATGTACGACTTCTTCTTCTTCTACCTTTTTCTTTTTGTGAGACTACATGAGTTCATTGAACTCAGGATAGAGGTGGCATAGTTAGTAGTTGCTATGCTGTCAGCTTGGTCAGAACTTCCAGTTCCCAGGTGCTTCTCCAAAAAAAGCCGTCCCTCATCTCTAACCCCAAACAGGACGTCAGCCCACCGAAGAAAGAAAAACAGGGCGCCACGAGACGATGGCCAACCGCGAGACGACGACCGCGAGACGTCCTAATGTGACCTTGGAGCCCTCGCAGGAGATCGACCACGTGGACTACGACGACGGCGGGAACCCCGCCCCTCGGCTCGAACCGGAACCGGGTTCCGGCCGGTCACGAGCGAGTTCGTCCGCTTCGGGCCCCAGTCACGTCTGTCCCGGGTTTTCAATGGTTTTCACGGTCGAACGAGGTACCCAGTGGATTCATTTCAGAATTGGTTTCAGGGACCACAGGACTACAGGACCCCCCATGGTTTTGGGGGGGTGACCATCGTGTTATTTTTACCTCTGGGGCCTCTAGGGTTGTCCCTTTAAGCCATCCATTGATCCAAAGACCCATTTTTCTGAGACAGGTCAACTCTCCAGTGGTCAGAAGTGGCCGGTGAAAGGGTTCCTTTTGGAAAAAAAGGATGAGCCACTCGGGCAGCCAGATGTGGCTGGTTTGGAGAAGTGGCAGGATTGAAACACATTGAAACCATGGACTCACGGTCGCCCCCTTGGTGTCACGGTCGACCCCTTGGTGTCACGGTCGACCCCTTGGTGTCACGGTCGATCGCTTGGTGTCAACGGTCGACCCCTTGGTGTCACATGGTTTCAACAGATTTCAACCATGCTTTCACACATCAGTCAATGAGCGTGCATGCGGTATGAAGGGTGGTTGGTTGAAACAGTCACCGGTGGAAGCAATTTATAAGTTTTTTAGCTTTTAGGTCGATCTGGCAGATCGGCCGAAACCTAAGAATTGATCTACCGTATCATTCATACACCAATAGGTGCTGCCTGAACACCCAAAACGGGGGCCCAGGTCAAACCAGTTTCATCTTCGTTCCGCCACTTGGAGGTGACGTACGGTAGGCGGTAGGTATACCGTACTTCGCCGTACTTTGTGTGGTGTTCCAAAACGCTGGCTCCGACTTTGCCTGACGCATCCAGCTTACGACTTGCCCCCTTCTCCACCGCTGGAGTCTCGACCACACGCGGGTCGACCGGGTCCACAGGAGTCTTCAGTGCACCGGTACTCGGGTCGAGCGCCGGAGGTGGAGGACACCGAGGCGCTGGAGCAGGAAGCCCGGCAAGCCGAGGAGGCCGCGGGTGAGGAAGCGGAGGAAGCAGGTGGAGGACTTCTGGAACCCGGATGTAGAAGAGCAGGTCGTTTTTGTTCTTTCTGGTGATCCTTAGGCAGCCATACTAGAAAACAGGTGCAGAAGGGTCAGGATTTTTGCAGGATCATAGTAACTTAGTAGGAGATGATATGATTTGGGGTTGTTTTTGCCGTCTCAGTCTCTTCTTTTCCTACTCTGCTAGAACCATCGCCATGGGTCACTGACTCTTTTCGTCTGCTCCGGACTCCGCGGACTCCGTGACGGACGCACACGGAGTCCCGGTGGACCGGGCTCCCAAAAGCATCGGACAGTAGGGCCGTCTCATGCCTACACACACACACATACCGTAATGCCCTCCTGAGACGGGGACTGGCATGACTGGTGTTTGCTTTACTTGGTGCTCGGGCCGTTTCGGGGGGGTAGTTGCAGTGTAGCTCTTGGCAAGACGAATCGTAGAAGCACACATGAAGTCCTTCACCAGGAGTGAAGCAGGCAGGTGACCACCACTCGCGGAGTTGATTGCACATGATTGCACTAGATACTGGCTCTTGGCTTGGACATGGACAATGGCTCCCGCAAAAGAGGAAGCGGAGCAAGCTGGTCTTCAAAAGGTTCAACTTGTCTCACGTTGAATGGCCCCTGTACCTTTGACACGTGCTTTGTTGCGTTCGAATTCATGTTCCCTTCCCCGTCCTGTGATGTTCCATCCCCCCAACATCACATCCTGATACCGAAGAAAACACCGAACACTGTCTCCCGTGTTTTGCCGTGGCCCCGTCTCGCTTCCGAACAGGCGCTCCGGCACCTGGAGGCGCAGTGGTGCGGTGCTCGGTGGGAACCGCCCGGTCCGAGATCCTTTTGGGGGTGGGAAGCACTTTCCACGGAAGAGCCCCCTTTTGCGGTTGACCCGAAGACGGAGCGAACTGGAGGCCCGCCCGTGACGGTAAATCATGGTCATGTGAAGAGCTCAATGGGTGGGAAAATGACCATGGACTGATCACCTAGACAACGTAGTAGTAAGTAGAATGTCCCTTGGTGCAGGTTGACCTCGGCTTCCTTGGACAATCAAGTCAGGAGGGTTGCACGCAAGTATATTGCGGCCCAGTTCACAAGATGGATCAAAAGAGATCAAAAGAGTAAAACCTCCTGTAGAAGTCCTGCACATCATTCTCTCAGGCTCTATCCTTTGGTCCAGTCACTGAATGTCTTCTTGGAACTGGTGCTGGGTTCCCAAAACGATGTATCGTTCTCTCCATGTAGCGGCCCCAAAAACCGAACACGTGGCCAGACCGGGCTCGACTGGAAGCTGCTCGACCGGGCTCCAGCTCGGTGATGGGTTGCTGCGCTGCCGGTCGCAGGCGACGCGGGCTCCAGAGCGGAGGGATGAGGTCCCCACGGCGGAGATGGCCGGTCCAGAGGCGCGCCGAGGGGTCGGGGTCGAGTCTAAGAGGAGGGGACCACGCCATAAGATTAATGACCATAGGGAGAAAGATCTTTCGATTCAATGACATGAACTTTGTGTCATTTTTTTAAAAGTCTGTGTTCAAATATGTTAACTCCATTTAACACCCTTTCACATCCATATGGAATCAGCTCCTGGCCACTTTGGAGTTTTCCCCTTGGGCGGCCCAACATGAACCCATACCGTGACGCCTCACTTGCTTCGAGGGAGCTCGGGAGGAGGACCTGGCGGAGATGCCACCGGAGGAGGGGTCACGCGTCACGCTTGTGCGTGCGCGATCCACGTGGAGCGCGCGATCCACATGGGCAAACGAGGGAAGGGACGTTCTGCAGTTGCGTTGAAAGGGGAACGTGCCAACTCACAGATTCCGGTGATTCTCGTTGCCCATTGCATAGGAACAGCATGGAACAATCAGATCAATCAAGAACACGTGACATGGGAACACTTTCTGGAATCTTTCAGGATCTGTCTTCTACCGGTTTGAAGCGAGGTGATGGGTTGCCCGGACTTGAACGACCACATTTGGACTGCTGGTGAAGCCCAAGATGTGGGTCCAAGAATCGCCGGTCCCATAAGGTCTTTATGAAATCACATGAACCAGGAGCCCAACCATCAAGGACCGGGATCCCCAACGAGTCCAGGGGTGTGTTGCAGGAGACGATTCCTCAGTGCTCGAAACGTGAGGCTCCGACTCAGTGCGTGCGTTCTGCGTCGCGCAAGGTATTTGGAGACATGGGACGCTTTCATCATAGGAAGTAGGAAGGCCGGGTTCACTCATGGAGGACATGACAGGGCCCTCTTCTTCCACCAGAGATCCTTTGGCTAGCTACTGTAGCTCCTTGTCAGGTCCTGTGTGACGGTCGCCCTTGTCACCCTGGTCCAACCAAAACATGGCCTTCCAGGGGTTCCATGAACGCCCGCGCGGCTGAAGGAGCATGCAGCAGATGAGGCTGGCTGCTCTAAAGGAGAACGCCCGTGATCACGCGTGGTGGACTCGACTCTGACCCGGAGCTTAGGAGAAGTATCCCACGCAGGAGCAAGTAAGTGGGGAGGTTCTAGAGCTCCTATGACGGCTCGGCTTGTAACCCGCTTCTTCAAGAAGCCAATAGGCCCTGCAACAAGCTTGAATCATTGCTCCATGTTGATTTCCATGCAGCCTGAGAGCAAAAAGAGGATTTAAGCACCTAGAAACTGGGGGAATGGGTCCCAAAGAAACATTCTGAGGTGTTTTTCTACCAAAATTGCAATGTTCATCAATTTTCTGGTCTAACTTGACTCGAGCCCGCTGTCCTGGTGACCGCATGCACCAAGCTGATTGGACTCCAATCTGAGCAGTGTTATATAGGTGCCTTGAGCCTAAAGCCTTCCAGAAGCATCCAGAAGCTAACTTCACCTCATGTGGAGGTTCACCAAGGTTCACCAAGAGCCTTCCAAAAGAACCTCACCTTCCCAAAAGCCTTAGCCTTCACCTCGTTTCATCTCATCTTCCACTTCCTCCATTGAGAGTGAAAGCAGCGAGGCGGGAAAGGCCTCCAATGGTTAGTTTTCTGAACGGTACGCCAATCAGGTAGGTCAAGTTCGGTTGAACAGCGACTCAGCTGTAGGGCCCTTCAGAAGCAGCCTGTCCGTCACACTCTTAACCTCTCTTGGTTGGTTTTGGAACAGTCGCAGTTTTTGCGAATCTGCGAAGCCCATCTTCCTGCCTGAGAGAGGTGCCCAGCGAGCCAGCGGCTCAGACCGCCGAGCGCCCACGCAGCTCGGTGCCCATGGTGGTGCGCAAGGCGTTCGGGGGGTGCCCAGACGCCGTTGAATGGCACGGAACGGCACGCGGAACGAGACGTGGGGGGCAACTCGAACGGTTTGGTTTGGGGGTGTTGGAACTAGCATGGGTTGATCACCACCTGACCATTCTCACATAGCCCTTGCTGTTAGATCCACAGGGGGTGTATGGTTTGGCACCCCAAATCCTTCAGGGCTTTATCAGACTGATACGACAGACCGACTAGCGGGCCGACTGACCGGACGATCCCTTGGAGGGTCACCCAGAAGTTGAGGGTCTCAAGGAGACGACGGCCAGACCTGGACCGAAGAGACTTCTGGTTGTTGAGGTTTGCAGGTACTTGATTCATGCACCTTTTACACGCTGTCACTTGTTCATTTGTGGTTCGACCGATGATCCCACTAGATCCCACTGGGCACCATTCAATCCCAGCTCGACGCTGACGCTCAACCGAACATTTTTGCAGAACAGGAACACTTCTAGTTCTTCCTACTGGTATAACGCAGACTCTTGATGATATTTCAACCCCCCAGGCTTGAGGTTTTACAATCCATGCTTCGGGAGGTTTTTTCATCCCAGCCGTACCGACTATCCCAGTTGTGGAGGTTGCAAGCCCCACATAGATAATATATAGGATGATGTCTCGAGCATGGAGTCCTTTGCCTATCATCCCAGCTTTTGTATTCTTTTGTGAGGTCATGTGACAGTCATGACATGGGTGTGGTATGGCTTCTGAGGTCCCTGACACTGCAGTTGGCTTGCATCGACGCAGGAAGCTGTAAGAAACCCCAAAGTCTTCCAAGAAGAAACAGCAACAACAGCAACAGTTAGAGTCAGAGTATCAATCAGCATTGGCATTCCATTTCGTTCGGGGCCTGTATTCTGATCCCTTTGGGATTTCTTTCCAACGATCCCCGAGTTCCGTGTCGGCCATTGGTGCAACCAACGGGTCTCCCAACGGGCTTAGTTCCCCAGCCTCGCAGGTGCCGGACCCGACGGAGGAGGAGGTGAGGAGTCCTCGCGGTGCGGCGGTGGAGCACGAGGCCCGGCGGGTTTCGGTCGTTGGATGAAAGGATGGAGATCGACTTACCACTGAGTAGCAAGAGGTAGATGGATGTATATGGTACCATCCGAGCACTGCACTGTTGATGAAGAATGTTCTGTGCGGCATGGCTACAGTCTTAGTCCCCCTTTAAGCCGGACTTTGTTTCGTTTGCAAGGTACGTTTGCGAAGTTATCCCATCACCTTTTTCCGGGGGCAGAACGAGCGCGGGATTTTTGGGGGTTTGGTGCTGCTTGTCGTTCTGGACATTCCATGTAGGAAATCTGAGAGTGCCGTTCAGCCTGGCTTTGTGTCCTGTATATATCTCACCAAAGATACACGGATACTGCAGGCAGACAGAAGTTTATGCTTGTTACCGGTGTAAATTACACTTGGGTCAGCTCTGGATCCACAAGTCCCATTCTCGCGGCCCTTCTCGTGCGGCGGTGTTCCTTCTCATAGTCACCGAAGCATGTTCTATCACAAAGGCTTCCCGGTCAGGTCCCAGATTCCTTTTTTTTAGCGGAAAAGAGGTTGTATTGTATGCAGAATCCGTTTATATAGAGCATCCAGAGTTGCGCCACTTTTGCATGCCACACGCACGCACTGTGCGTGTGTGCGCCAATGACGAACGTCGTGCAGGTACCACCCCAAATCCACGAGCCGGCGCCGATGCCAGAAGAAGGTGGACCGAGCGGGGTGGGAGACACGCTGAGCTCTCTGATGGGCAAGCTGCCATTCAGCTGGACGAGTCAAGATGAACCAGATGCGAAGGCAGGGAGTTTGCAGCGTTTTGCAAGAAGGGTAGTTTACAGTATGGAATATGAACATGAAATCACATGAACATATACAACGGTTACAACGGCATGTGCACACAGAAAATATAATGTGTATACTGTGTAATCATATACAATTAATATACATATGCACGTATTATTTTCAATTATATATTGATATTCACCATATTCACAACATGATGTTCTTCTCTATTTCGCTTGGCCAGTGCTTTAGACCTGTCGCTACTGTGTCTTTTCCCTTGACCGGGCCGTGTAAAAACATGCCGAACAGAAAGCGTCGGACGCCGCGAGACGGGTGAAGCTGCCGCTGTGGTTGAAGCGACAGACACGACAGACACCTGGAGCGCTCTTTGGGGCAAGCTGCCATTCGGGCAAGAGACCTCAAAGGCAGGGGTCGAGTCCGATGCGCTTTGGGGATGTGGTACGGCCGCAGGAACACAGACAAACCGAGTCTTTCGAGAAATCCTTCTGCTCTTTTCGTGGCACCCTCTTGTTTGGTTTCTTGTTTTGGTTTCTGGTAAACTCTCAACGAAAGCGGCCGTCTCCCGGTCGGAGGGAGGGAGGTTCACCCCAAATCCCAACGGGGCGGACGCGAGACACGGAGCACCACGGAGAAGCCTGCAGGGAGAAGCGCGAGCTCGTCCTGAAGCTGAGGCGCCACACCGGTGCCAGGAGTGGAGACGAGACGTCCATGGGAAAGAGATGCCTGGTGTTGTTTCATGATTTTTCACCATTTTTCCCTTAAGGTTCAATCCCCTTCTGTGGAACATGTTCATATTCTTTTGCAGGTTCGACCCGTCGACCAAGGTAAGTTCACCTTCCCAAGTCCGTCCGTCCCAAACCTGGTTTTGGACCCTCAGAGCGACCGGGGCGGCTTTTGGGACGTCGCTGGGGACCGTTTTCAGATCGGCAAGCTGTGCAGGCTCGCGAGCCTGAGCCTTCCGGTGGGATCGAGCGAGGCGCGGGGGGGGGGACCCAGCGACCTCGGGGGGGGGGGGCGTCTCAACGGCCAAAGGCCTCCTCCAGGTCGGTCCTCCGGAGGTCGGTCCTTCAGAGCCAGGGAAGGGCAGGGTTTGAGGGCCTGGGCCCAGGTCGAAGCATGCAAGGTCTGGCAAGGTCTGGTGGCAGGGACCACCAGATGTCGGGTGCAAAAACCATCTCGGGAGACGGACCGCAGGTTGGATGCCATCCTTCTTCACCTGACGAGCTCCTTCACGGCAGTCATAGCTCGGGAGGAGCGATGTAGGGTTGATAGGGTTCCAGTGGCGTTTATAGGGCTCAATGAAGTCAACACACAGGGGCTCCGCCCGTTCCAAGTGGATTCTTTTTTCGGCCCCACTGCAGTGGAAGGTTCTTGACATTTTCAGGGGCCCCTCCCATTAACAGGTGGGGGTGCGCGGGGGTGACTTTGATCTGGCTCGGAATTCTTGGATGGCCCAGTTAGGGGAAGGGGAGTTCAGAATCGGTTTTGGTTGGTTTGGATTTTTTTTCTCTTTTGACTGGTGCAGAAAGTAGGGTAGTAGATGGTAGGGAATACGTATAAGGGAATGAGCTCCCATCCTTATAGACTTTAGGACGCTGTTAGGTTGAGGCCATCGCAAGTAGGTTGGAGGCCATCGCTACTAGTAACGAGAAGCTACTATAGTGACGACTAGTAGCTAGAAGCTACTATATAGTGGAATTTCTATTAGGTTCCTTTTGCTACTAGTAACAAGAAGCGACTAGTAACTAGTAACAAGGTTTAAACTTTGCATCCCAGCCGTGCACTTGCTCGGCTCACTTGCTTGTCCGCCAAACATCAAACCACTCCCTGGGTCCCACCGGTGCTTCCGTTTTCGCCAACCTCTTTGGTCCGTCTCCGTTCTGGTCTGAAACGGATGTCTCACGGGTGAAGCAAACCTGTTCTGGTTTGGATTCACCGCCCATGCCCTCACATCGGGTTGCCAATGCCTCTGGGACCCATGCAGTCTTTGCATCAGTGAGGCGTCTCACATCATCTCACATCATCTCACATCTCACACCTAGTCTTGGAATGTGGCCAAAGGGGCACTTCAGTTTATATATTTTTCCTGGTGGGCTTCGTTCAAACGACAGGTGCCCCTCAGGTTGTTGATGCCCTCCAAGCTGGCAAGTTGTGGTCCATTTCTGCTTGCTTGGATCAGGTGCCAAAGTGCCACTGCGCAGGGCGGAGGTGGAAAATGGCCAGGGAGTAGCTTTGCATCACACTCAACTGCGTTATTTGTGCGGTTTCTGCTATGATGGGCTACAAAGAAAATGGACTTCAAGGCCCATGATCGTGTAGAGAAATCCCAGATTTACTGTAAGTTATTTAATCATTTTTCTATCATCGTGTTTGTTTTCATTATTTCACTGGACAACCTCTTCCGAAACCGCCATGTGTTGATTCACACAACACTCATACACTCTAGACAAAACACGAATTGACTGTTGGAATTCACATCTACCTACTCATGTAGACTCTGGATGACTCTTGATTATATTTCAACACCCATATAGAAGAGGTTTTACACTTATGCTTGATCGCTTTCAGAGGTTGACATCTCGCTCGCTCAGACACCAGACACGCGATGATCGCCCTGTCATTGGTCCCCGGATTCGCGGTTCCACGGGGTTCCACGGCTTCGCGCTTCGGAACGGTTCCATGGGCTTCGCGGTGGAATGGGTTCGGATGAAACGGTTCGGGACAATTCGGGACAGTGGACGATGGAATTCCGGATTCGAAGTGATGGACATGATGTTCATCCACCTTCCGGGAAGAGTCCGACCCTCCTGTTTGGCTCCAGGCGTTTTCGACTTAGGCCTTCACATGCTTTGCAGCAATGGATTCGCTTTCCAGGACTTACAGCGGAGGTCAAGCAACCAGTTTCGAGCAGCAAAGGCCGCCATCGGGCACGGTTTCCAGGCTTTTTGGGAGAACAGGGACACACAAGAGACGGATCTCATTCGAGTCATGTGCCAAGCGTGCCCCCCCTGTTGGCTGGAGTTTCTGGGTCGTGCGCGCGTGCGCAGAACCACGGGCACCGCGGCCATGGAGCTTAGCTTTGTGGCGCCGCGTGCCGTGGCGCCCACCACGCGGGCGGCTGCGAGCGGCGCCGCAAGCGCTGCGGGCCGCAGCACCCGCTCGGTGGGAGACTCGGGGCGGTGAAAGGACCGTCGTCTGGAAATACGAAGCTTCGGGACCTCTCGATCAGAGGGTTTGAAAAACGTGTTGAACAAGATTCGACAAGGGATTTGAACTCAACTGTTTCTACCCTTCGCTCCGAGGGTTGAAGGGTCCGTTTTGGCCGGCTGATGTGTGTGTGTGCGTGTGTGTCTGTGCGTGTGCAGTTTGACGGCTTTGAGCATGAACCGCCAGGAAAAAAAACAGAGGCCTTCATCCACGAGTTCGAGCATGGTTACCATGTAGACTGTTGATGAATAAAACCTCAAACCCTTAGGGTTGCTTTCAACATTTCGACCGGACACCCCCGCCAGGCAGATCAGCAAGTGCTCCGTGGTGTTCCACCACAGGTGCTCAGTGGACGACCTGGTCTGGTCGGTCTGGACGGTCTAGCGAAGGGGAAACGATCGATTGAACAAGAGAAGTTGTGTAGCAGTGATGCAAAGAATCAGTAAACAGTGACCATTGATAGTCAACACATCATAGTTGCCTCATTATATACTATATATAGTTGGTATGTGGTTCCATGATAGTTTACGATCGTTTCACCATTGGGTCCGTGTGGCATCCTTTGTTGGTCTGTAGTTGCGCTTGGTTTCAAGACGAGCAAGGGATGGTCATCTCGAATTTTTTTCAATCCAAGTTGTGTCCCATGACCAGTAACAGTCGGTACATAAATGGTTATCAGATATGAGTTATCACTTATAAGCAAATGTATATATATATATACATATATATAATATATTTACACATAATTCCTAAATAATATATATATATTTCTTTATTTATACATACATACTGTTACAGTATATTTTCTTTCTTAGGTGGAAAGCCTTTACTAACCATCAACCATCATCACTTACTCTTAGTGACATTCTGGAATATACTTGTACCCAAGTTCACTCAATCTCTGGATGGTAGGGAAATTTTGGGACGGATTGTGAATCCCCGTTAAGCCGTGTGGCAGAAGTGGAGTGTTTGCCAACATGAGCCGCGGTTGCCAAGGTCCTAGTGGTGGACAGCCCCTCCGAACCCCACGCAACAACAAGTTCCGCAGAGATGAAGAAATTCCACCTTCATGAGATGGGCCATGGAGGGACAGGATCGAACGAGTCAGACCGGATTTAAAGGACGCCGGGTTCATGCTTTTCTGGACCCCAATGGGACTCGTGCATTTCTCTTGCTGGGTAGACTAGTCTATTTAAGCTTCCAACTGGCTCGCAACGCCTGGTGTCGGCCTCCCTACTTCAATATGTGTGTATTAAGACAGGTCTCGACCTCCCAGCTCGAGAACTCGACCCCCTGGAAGAAGTTTTCTTTTTGACCCGTCTACCCATTGGTTGAGAGATCCCCCTCTTCAAATACACACCCAAATCTTCATCGCAGCAGCAGAAACGAAGAAGCCTCCAAGCCCTATCAGCTGATTCTTCATTCTACACAAATCGTATCAAATCGTCCTGTCAGGACGCACCATCAATCATTCATGTTACTATTTCCTAGAGCCCATTTGACCTCCGTTTTGAAAGGACAAGACCTTATTTTGGGTGGTTGGTGATCCAAAATAGAGGTCATTCAGGTTCTAGGTTGGCATGAATTCTTCAAATCCAGACTCACCGTCGGTCGAGACTCACCGTCGGTCGACGTTTTCGGACAACCCCGATCAGGGCTCGAAGGTCCTGGTCGCGGCGCTTCTACTGGCAGGCTCCAGCAGGCTGGGACCGGTTCGGAGAGGCCAGCGTGGGACCGGTTCCAAAGGTTTCGTGTTTTGCAGGAGCGTTCTTGGCGTGCCAGTGCCAGCATGGTGTTTTGGGCTCCCAAAATGAGGAAGGGTTCCGCTCCGAAGCCAGACTGGACCAACTCGAAGCCAGTCCCGACTCATATAATGTAGGGGGACACTCCCTAACATGGAACCGGACAATTGGCAAGGTACCAGGCCGTGAGGACGAAGGTATCATCACTTGTAGCCAATGCAAGGAAGACCTGGTCTTGGCGCTACCGACAGAACAACCTGGAACGCTCAGTTTGTGCAGAAAGACCCCAAGTGGCATCCTCCAATGAACATAGTTCATCCTCCAGACCCACCACATCCCGTAAGTCCGAAACCCGAATTCAAGCCTGCTCGGAGACTCTTGTCTAAGACAACGCCTTCGAATGCAGTGGGCAACTGTGTCGTGCATGATCCGAACCGCCCTTCTCGTCGAGTGATAGAGTTGACCGCTGGCGCCAAGGTGTGGGCGCATCCCACCCTGGAGCTCTGGATCCTTCTGGGAAGTTGCTCCTCCAAAGCCACAACTTTTGGGCTCCCAAAGTGTTCCATTGGTCTGAACTTGCTATGTCGTGGCCTTTCAGAGGATCATGACAAGCCCTGGTGGCGTGATAGGGTGTAGGCAGCAGCCCAAGAGTGGTAGATGAAGAATCTGCAGGAAGGATCAGGAAGGTGTCCGCCGTCCCTACACCGTCCCAACACCGGAGAGGTTGACCGGCTGCGCCAGACTCGCCCCACGAAAGCCAGGATGTTAAAACCAGACGCATGCAGACTCCAGTGCTCCGCTTGTAACCCTGCGTTGGCGTGTGTTCCGGCCCTTGCGCCAGGCGTGTGTTCCGGCGGCGGTGCCGGTCGGGCCGCGCGGCGGCCGCGCGGCCGGACGCGCGGTCGGGTCGCGGGAAGCATGTGCGGCCGATCACACAGCGTCAAGGGCAGGTCATGGACAAGGTGGAGAAGAAGGCTCTGCTGGGATCGGGCGGATGATGGGTGGATCATGGTTTATGGGTGGATGGGGTTGAGGTCTTGGAGTCTTGGATTTCATGCAGATTTTGGAACGGGCCCGTGGGTTCTTTCTTTTGACCTGGCGAAGTGGATCATCAATCCTGCACGGAGGTCTCTGCACGTGGGATTCTTCTCGGTCAGGAAGAGAAGAAGGATGCCCATGCCATCACCGCGGAAAAGAAGGAGCAGGCAGGTTGATTGTCTCGCAGGTTGTCTCGCTTGGCTTCCCTTGACGTCACACGAAACCTTGGCTCACTTTGCCTACACTTTGCTCACACGAAACCGGCACTGAAGCAAGAGGTTCACCCAATCTCCAGTTTTGATCCCCAGGGGGCCTAGGGGGTTTCTTTTTTGCTTTGCGGGTCCAGATGTTCGACTTCGGCGAAGGCACGCCCCCGAAGCATTACTGTTGTTGGTCTTCATACCGCGTGAAGCATGCCTTGAAGACCCCCGAAGCAAAGTCTGAAGCCAACCTCAATAGTCTTTCGCATCATCTTTCGCATTAGACAAACACTGCCACATATGACATTGGATCGCTATTAGGTGAAAGCCATCGCTAGTAGGTGGAGGCCATCGCTAGTAGGTTGGAGGCCATCGCTAGTAGGTTCTGTTTGCTAGTTGACAATGGAAACTTAAGACACACCTGAGCTCGTGCATCCGCTTGATTGCGCACAAATCGACTTGGACGATCTTCCGGAGCGACTGATTGGCTGACTGGCTGTTTTCCAAACAGGGTTGGTGCTATGTAATATAATATAATATATAAATATATATATTTACCCACATGCAGTATCAGTAATTTGAGTGACTGAGAGTGCTCACTGCAATCCTAAACATCCAGAATTCCAGGTCCCAAACAGCCGTGTCTCCCTCCAAATTCACTCCATGGCCAAGCCAACTCCGGCGAGGCACCGGAGGCGGTCGCGGAGGCGGCGGATGCCGCAGATGCGGCGGTCGTGGGGTCCGGAAGCCCCGAAAGTGCCGGGGATGGGTGGAGGCGTGTGGCCCAAGGCACGCGAGGGGCGCGTGAGTTGACTCAGGATTGGATTGCTTTTAAGATGTGAAGAGGGCGATGTGAATAGGATGAGTTTCATCCAATCAACGGTTGAAATCAAGCTGGTGATGTTGGTGCCAGAGAGAGTTAAGTGTTATTCTAGATTCTAGGCATCCTCTCCGAGATGAGGGCCTTTGCCTAGGCATCACCCAGACTCAGAAGAACCGAGGTGCTTTTGCGCTTTTGCCCCCTCTTCTATTGGGCATCATGATTTTCAATAGAGAATCCACCTTTGAACATTCAAGTGTGGCCTTTGATGCTTGAAAAAGTATGGCCTGGCCACATGAGCCTTGAGTAGAGTCCACTGTTCACCGTGAACAAAAGCACTTCTGCACCGTTGCCTTGGCTCTTCCCTCCCTTTTTTTTCTGGTGGTCTCTACCCCGCCGTTGGCTGGTTTCAGGTGCTTTCTCACCATTTCGTCTCGGTTCGCGAAACCGCGTTCGAACCCCCACCGGCTTTGGGTTTTCACTGATGACCTGAGTTCCTGGAGCGTTTCGCGTTCGGCTGCAACTCTTTGATTCGGTTGTCGCTAGCGACTGAGTCCACTCCCCTTGGCCTCCTGGATACGAATGGAAAAGCCATTCGCATCCATTCGTTCTGGTGTTACTCCTCAATGGGCCCTGCACCAATGAAGTCATATCGCATCAGCACTGTCAGCAAGCATCTCAGGTGAGCCTTTGTTGGACCCCAAGGCAAGAGTTTCTCAGGCTTCGTCCGACTTTGTCCTATCTGCTTCTTTTGGCTCGGATGTCCTTTCCGCAGGGATTGGAACAGGCATCGACCAGACGCCTCACGTTCATGATGTTCGTCTGATCATTCCGCCCAGCGAAACGATCATCGTGAACCGTGCACCGCCATTTCTGAAACGCGTCGTCGTCTCGCCATGCTGGGCATTGGCTTGGGGTCCTTGTTGGTCTGCCTGACCTTTGGGTCGTTGGCCTATGGGAAAGAGGCAGGGGATGGCAGGGGTGGAGATGGACCGTGCGCTTCCCCCCTTTCCAGGCGTAGATACATGGAGGATCCGAGGTTTTTGCACCTCACTCAAAAGCTTCGGGGACGCCTTTCGCTGACCGAAGAACAGAGCTTGTGGGCCCGCCTGCCTCGACGGAGCTGTGTTTCTATTCAGGAATTCGTCCCGGCGCCAGTCCGTCCTATTCCTGTTTCAGTTGCTGGGAGGACACATGGGGATCTTTGAGAAAGGAGGCGTGTTTTTTTGTTCGCCTTCGTCATCCTTCGCCTGTCAAGCAACTTGTTGTATAGAGGATGGACTGTTGTTACGTGATCATTTTCCCATCTTTTCTCTTCCCTTTTGTGTTCGGAAGAAATACTTGCGCATGAGTTCGGCCAACGCTTGTATTGAATCTATATAAATTTATATATATATAATTATATCATACGTGTTTTTCCGTTCTTTTTTCCACCGGATCTGAGAATCGGATCTGGAGAACACCGCGAATTGACTCAGCTAGTCTAACGGTGAACAGAGACTCCGTCGACACCGAGGTGAGAGACCACCAGGACCCCCAGTCGGGGTGGTCGGGGTGGACCCCCCGACATCACCGCGTGCTAAGGGGCAATAGACACCCCGACCGGTGGCAGGTCCATCTTTGCACTTGAAGTGCAAGCATTCGATCTTGAAAGCTCTTTCCAAAGCCTTGGAACTCCAAATCCCCCTGCCCTTTGTACACCACCTTGGAATTCGTACAGCTAGCGGCTATAGCAAGGCCATTCTTCTTCCATGAACATTGCATTCCTAAAGAACTTCTGCCACAACGAAGGACTTGTGACATGGGACCGACCCCTTTTACCCAGACACTCAGAGACCTCAGGCGGTCTTCTTCCAGATGGAGAAGGTGGCCGAAGAGCACCTCCCAAGCTGTGGAGGCTTCGCATGGTGCAACACCTCCATGCCACTGGAGCAGCGTGCCTTGGGAGAATGGGTTGCCTTGGGCGGATTTGGGGCGGATTTTGACCCACCCCCTGTTTTTGTTTGTTCACCATACTGTACCATACTTGTATATAGTATAGATAGTCTTCACTACTACCGGCACGTGGGTATACTGAGAAACGAGGGTTGTGTCAAGCTGCTCCTCTACAAACCCATGTTTTTGCAGGATTTCTCTTTAGAGATATGACACACCCAGCGAATCAGTGGTTTCAGCATCTCAGCATCGGGGAAAGACTAAGGTGTCGATCTGCTGGTGAAGGAACTTACTCCAGAGGTGAGGTGTCCCGCGTGACCCGCGCGACCCGCGTGACCCACGGTTGGCTGCGTGACCGGCGGTGTTGCGACCCTGGAGGCCGAGCCTTGAGACTGAAAGAAGAAATCCTCGGAACATATGTTGGCTTCGCTGCCGAGGGAAACAGCCTTGGCATGCCTTGGCTTCGCTGCCGAGGGTTAAGTCTTTGGGGGATGCCCCAAAACTCACCGAGGGAAACAGCCTTGGCTTCGCTGCCTCCGATGTCTTTGGTTTTCTTCCGCGGACCTCCGAGTGGAGAGCTCCGCGCGTCCGGGTGCTGATCCGCCAGGAGAAGATCTTGCAGCTCAGCAACGACCTCTTCGGTGGGGTACCAGCCATTGTGCGCTGACCAACAACTGTGATGAGGGTGGGAAGTTGGAAGGAACCAATTCCTATTCCGCAACTCTCCATTCTTCTGAAACTTTTCTTCCGCAACTATTTGGTACTCTTCCGCAACTAACTCTTCAGAAGCTATTCTTCAGAAACAATTATCAGAAACTATTTCGCGATCTTCAGATTATTTTTGGAATCTTCAGAAACTATTTCGCGATCTTCGGAAACTATTTCGCGATTCGCGATCTTCAGAAATAGATATTTTGCGATCTTCAGAAACGTATTTGCATGCTTTAGAAAGTATTCTTCAGAACTTTTACAATAATGTAACCAAATTGCATGAAGGAGCTCAGGGTGGGTGGGTTATTGTCGTACCTTGTCACGGCTACGGTATAATCTGCAGAAACCTTTTCGTGCAGGCTTGATGTTGCTCTTCGACTCTTCATAGTTTCCGAACATTAGTTTCTGAAGAAAACCGCGTAGTTTCCGAAGAATAGTTTCCGAAGAAAACCTTAAAGTTTCCGAAGATCACTTTTGAGTTGCCGAAGATTAGTTTCCACAGAAAAGTGTCCAAGGAAAACTGTAAAGTTTCCGAAGAAAACCGCGTAGTTTCCGAAGAATAGTTTCCGAAGAAAACCTTAAAGTTTCCGAAGATCACTTTTGAGTTGCCGAAGATTAGTTTCCACAGAAAAGTTTCCAAGGAAAACCGTACAGTTTCCAAAGAAAACCGCATAGTTTCCGAAGATTAGTTTCCGAAGAAAACCGTAAAGTTTCTGCAGATCACCTTCTAGTTTCGGAATAACACTTTGACCGGGTGGGAAGGCTGGAAGATGGAGGTTTGGGAGGCGCCCGTGTTCTACTTTGGACTGTTCCCTTCAAACCAGAGCAGGTGCCGATGATCTCTCCCTCGGGACCGGCCCCATGTCCCCCACGTCCTCCGCGTCCGCGGCGCGCGCGGGAGCGTCGGCGACGTGAGGAGCGTGTGGGCTTGCAGTCCTACAATTACATCCGAGAGGCCGCGCATGGCGTTCTCCTGCGAGGCGGCTGTCTTCAGTAAACTGTCCGTCGTCGGTGTTTCCTGAGGGCCGTGCTGTGCTGAGAAGAAGAGTTAAAGAGGATGAAAGAGTTTGGGTTTCGGCGAGCAAGACGTCCGACTGGGGCTACATGTTGACTGCTGATGAAGAACCCTCCCAAGCCTGGAGAAGGTTTGAACATCCAGGTATACTGAGGTATGTAATGAAACATCATGAAGATATATAGTTTAATCAATTAAAATCATATCAAACATATATATATATACACTTGTAATTAAGTATACTTGTATGTATATATACATATTATAGATGCGAAGCGCTCGGGCGCAAACACTGGCCAAAACACAATTTTTTTTTGCAAAGGCTGAGTGTTCGGTGCTTGATTCATGAGCACCGGGCGTACCATGTATGAGAGAATGAACTTCTGCACGGGTGGCAGTGCCATATCAATCTCAAGGTCTTTGCGACCGGTTGCTCCCACTTGCGACCCGGCACCAGACCCTCATTGTAAACAACTCGTCATCTTCCATTCCTGTCGTTGAACATCAAGATCTGATGGGGTTCGTCCACTTTCGTCAAGCTGTTAGCGAATTGACTTCCTCCTTCGACCGATCTCAAATGCATTCAAACAAAAAAGTCACTGCGTTTCTCACCACCAGAGAGGGTGGGGACAGTGGAGTTCCTCAAACAGGTTCTTCGAGTCGCTGATCAGGGATGCCTCCACACAATGGACCGCTTTATTGGTGTTCCAAACATTGGCATGTTTTCCATTGTTTCCATTGTTTTCCTATGAACTCCGAAAAGCGAAATCTCTTGACGAGCAAATACGTTGTATAGTTGTATTTTCGATGAGCTCCAAAACATGGGATTGACAGGTTCCAGTGCTCCCTCAAGAAGTCTTCTTGAGGTGGTACTCGTACTGCTAGGGTCCTGTCTGTTCGCTTTCGAAAGTTTGTTTGTCTCAATCAAATCGGAAGTTTTGGCCTTGGGCACCTTTGAAAGGAACAATCCTGTTGGAGCGCTCCATTCCATTGCTAATTGTCCTGAATGCTAGGCCAAAGATCCGCGCATCTGGGGTAGCTGTGTCATTTGAGTGTTTGAAGCGCTGCTTGGTAGACCTTCAGATCTGAGACTTGGTCCAAAAACTCCTTCTGTGAGAGCTGAAGGGAACATCTTCTCGTTGTTCAATCGTCACTTCACATGGTGTGAAGTTCTTCTTTTCCCACTCTCCAAATTTGAGTCGGGTATCACCTTGGTTATCTTGATGTGATCCCACCACAAATCACCTTCAGCACCTCTAAACATGAAATTATCCACGTGGGAGCAGATCCATGCGATAGGTTCTTGTTGTTAAGTTGTTCACTGAAGAGTCCCCAGCAGCAAGGATCTGATTTCTGTCGTATGTACCGTATGAAACCTTGTTGTTCGAGGAACTCCACAGAAAGGTAAAACCCCCAATGGTGGTACTAGGCCGTAGGCTGCTTTGGCCAGTCTTGTCACTGAGCCTTCTGGTATAGTTCATCGCTTCGGTGATTTCCTCCAGCGGTTCGAGCTGAGCTGGTCGAACTCACGACTCGGAAAGCGCCAGAGATGTCTACCTTCTGCACTAGTCAAGATAGGCTTCTTGTAGGCATTCAGAGAGGGGATCCTGGCATTCCAAGATGCAAAAGGCCTTAGCCTATTTTGTGGCATCTGGCTTACTGCAAGTCCTTCTGTTTCTTTTTGAAGGCATCTGATGTAATTCTTGGCATCCTTTTGTTTTTGCTGCTCTCCAAGTCTTCCTTTGTCAGCCTCTTTTCTGAGACCTCCACGTGACCACGTGGTTGGCCTACCATGTTGGAACGACCACGGAGCCAATGCCCTGTCTCTTCCCGGCTTTTTCCTTGAGGCAACTTGCACCTTTTGGATGCCACCAATTGTGTCGCTGGCTGTTTGTTCGGCACGGCGCAACCTCGGCGATCGAACCGGACGTGAGAACCGGACGTGGGAGTCGATGTTCGGGTCCTGTTGTCCGATGACATCGAGGCTGCGGCGGATCGATCGGGTCCCCAGGGCCTCAGGGTCATCCTAAGCTCGTCCAAAGCAGAATCACTTCGCAGCTGGAGTGATGTGAATTGTCGACCTTTTGGGGTCCTTAGTCCCAAGAGTGATGTGAAGGTCCATCATATTTCTTTCATGATTTGCACCCCAGCAACAAAGGATCTCCTCAAAGTCCTTGGCGCAAAAGACCGACTTCCCAATCTCTAAGGGAGCCGGGCTCCGCTACCATGCAAAGCACACAGGCGCAAACACCTGCTAAAATGCCTTTCTGCAAAGGCTGAGCGGCGCACCAAACCATGTGTGGATGCGTTTCAGAATGAACTTCTGCATATATATATATATGTATATTATATATAGTTCTTATGTGTGTGTGTGATACAATCAATCAAAGGCCTACCCGCCGGAAAATGCTGCTCCAGGCGGACGACCTCAAGCCACGAGCTTCCCACAGGTCGTGGCCATGGCCGCCTCCTTCAACCGGCGCCTCGGTCGTGGGTCGCCCCTGTCCGGCATGGTCCGCGCTGAAGATTGGTTGTTGGGGCACTTGGTTGGCTGATTTGTTGGTCATGTACCAGGGGTTATATAGCAACGTGGGACCAAAATTCCCGAACATAGCTGTTCAAAAAGTTTGGAGCCTCCCCCGCCAGTCCACACGGGATCTTTTTCAACTGCGATGCGGGAAACCATGAAGGAACTCCTTTTGCACGGGTCTTCTTCGAAATCGCTGTGTCCTCTCCAAGCCAAGCAATGGGCGCCTTCCCTAAATGACCCCCAAACCCGCTTTGAAACATCTCCCAAATTCAAGGAGCTACTAGGAACAACGCGCATCGCCACTAGGAACAAGGACGCTACTAGTTGTTCCTGGCATTACTATACTAGCAACAAGAAAAGTACTAGTAACTAGAAGCTACTGGGTTGGAGGCCATCGCTACTGGGTTAGAGCCCACTATGTACTACCAGTAACAAGCAGCTACTGGTAGCTAGAAGCTACTAGGTTGGCGGCCATTACTACTAGTATCAAGAAACTACTACGAGCAAAGGCTTGGACTTTGTCTCCACGCGCACTCTCCAGGAGCCTTTTCCGACGGGTGGGCCGCGCGGTAGGCCGCGAGGCGCGATACCTGCAAGACGTGGGCGTGATGTGGGGAGACTACTTGGGCCCCTTGGCGCTTTCTGCCAGCGCCGCAGAAACGAGAAAAATGAGGGGAGACGGATGGGGAGTCAATGGATGAGAGTGATGAGAGGTTCTTGGCACCAGAGGCGTTTTGAAAAGAAGTCTGGAGGTTGATGGGTGAGATATGATATGGATTTACAGCATAAGACGTGCATTTTATTGCTGTGTGACATCACTTCATATCACTTCTCATTCTGATTATGATTGGCGTCCAAAATGAAATCAACTCAGACACAACATCACATCCTTCTCCACTTGACTTCAAATCCTCAACAGTGCAAAGCCAAACTTGTCACAGCTCCAAACCTCACCCCGCGCAGAACCAAACACATACCTTGACATATACTCACCCCCCCCCAAAATGATGGCACTTTACTTACTCTCTTACTCTTACTCTTACTCTTACTCTCTTACTCTTACTCTCTTACTCTTACTCTTACTCTTACCCTTACGCTTACTCTTGCTCTCTCTCTCTCTCTCTCCCCCTCTTTATCGGCCTCCCAGGTCGCTACGGAGGCCTGGTCTTGCAGTTCAACGTGAACCTCTTCCGCGACCCGCGCTGGGGCCGCGGCCAGGAGACGCCCGGCGAGTCGCCCGAGCTCACCGGGGCCTTCGCCGAAGCCTACGCGGCGCGGCGGGGATTGGGGACTTCGGAGGGCTGTAAGATGGATGGTTCCGTTTGTGGGGGGGGGATCTAGATTCGTCAGGATTGTAGGGTTGAAGGTAATTATTGCGTTTTTTTTTCGGGCTGGGTTTTGATTCTGATTTATTTCATCATTCACTTACATGGATTCTCCTTGTTTCTCACAAGGGGGTATATAACAGCAGGGTTGGGTTTTAGTTCTTTGACTTGTGTTTTCCAGCAGTTGTTCTTTGAGTGGACCAACTTCCACATTCATGGTTGAGGTGATGGAAACAGACTTTCACGCTGACATGAAATAGTAGGCAGTTGATTGCTATGGCTTCAGGGGGAACATATGCGAATAGAATGTGCAACAAAGGAACAAAGGTGGATTTGTTCTGCGAGCCGAAACATACTGACCGCACAAGGGATAAGGCAAGTGGATGGCAGCACGCCAGGGTCAATTGCACTTGGATGTGCTCCAAATCAATCACTCCAAAGCACCTTCGTGGACCATTCACAACCAGACACTGCGGGTTGCGCGGATCCACTTGAGTTGGAAAAGGACATCAATGACACCATGGATGAAACGGCGTGGGTTCTTTTCATTTCCTGAATGTAGCCGCATCTCAAGCTTTCCTTTCGAATCCACGGGTGTTGGAATCATTCGATTCACAGCACTCAAAGCTACTCACCTGCGGCTTCTTTCGACTTCCAATCGACCAACGGACTCTTCGACTGGAAGAAGTTCGCGCTCCGCACATCCATGGTCCCGCGATCTCCCGAATAGCCTACCTGCATGGGATGTGCACGGCTCCTTAAATGGGGAGGGATGATCCTGACTACCCATCACTCAGCCTGGCTGTTGGGACTCATCTTCCTTTCAATCGACTTCCACTTCGGCCTCCGTGGCTTCATGCTCACCCCTGTCTCCGTCTTCCCCCGGTGGGCCTAAGCTTGAACTGTCCGAGCGCCAACCCTGCTTCCCGCCACGGGGGGTTCCAAGTGCTTCGCCGCTGAGGTGAGGGGCATCCAAACCCCTTTGCCTGGGAAGACCACCCCACAGGCGGCTGCCTCGTGCCGCTTGGCCAGGGTTTTCACATGGCCGCACCCAAAGCAGCAGGTGAAATTGAATGTTTCGTCGTGAAGCTGTAGGACGGACCAGCCGCGACACCCGCCGCTTTGGGCAAAGACCGAGTGGTTTCAACAGGTGGATCATGTTGCCGTTCAATCAGACTCAGTCATCGAAGGTTTAGCAGGTTTGTCCCGGCGGTTCGCAAAGCCACCCCGACTTGTGAATCCACGGGATGGTTTGTTGCGAATCTGTTGAGGTTGGTCAAGGACTGAGCAATAGCCCAAAGCGCCCTTGAGATTCCGAGGGGCATCTATGTCATATCGATCTGTGGCGTGAGGAACACATACTCCATGTTGAACACACAAGGTTTGCGTAAGGTTTGCGTCAGTATATACATGGCATTTACATGGAACCACTGAAGTCCAAAGACATATATTTGGAGCGACTGCAGTAAAGGAGCTTCCGAGCTTCAGGTCACCTTAAAGACACGTCACCTTAAAGACACGTCACCTTAGTATAAGTCACTAGGTCTTTGACTCCCAGGCACCATGCATTGAATGATCTGTTCGCAACCCCAATCGGAAGGTTCGATTTACTTCCTCACAGAGGTTGATTGTTCAACAACCCGGGTCGAGTGTTTACTGCTGCACACACCTTCCCATGAATATCGAAAATGGATGAACATGGCATTTGTGCAGCTAGTGATCAGGGGTACAAATCACTGTACACCAAGGTCGACAACCCCGAAAACACTTTTTGCTTGGTTGAAGAACTACCACCACACCTTTCCAACGCCGTGAAGTTCAAACCAGCGTTGGTTCAGGTGGCTTGGAACCTGGAATTTTTCAAGAGGTACCGTAACAGTATGTGACATTCCATGAGCGGACTCATCTGCTGGACTCGTCGTTAAACGGCCATTCTTGGGCCGTTTCTAAGGCAAACATTATGCAGCCTACTCGTTCGAAGGGGGGCCCACCGAACTCAATAGGCTGGACTGTCCAGGGAAACGGCTTATTGCGCCAAACGCGGCCGGGCGCAACAAGGATTTCTAGACAGATTTCTAGAATTAACCACTGTAATCCGATTGTTTTTCTGTTTTTTTGTTTGAGGTTCTAGGTCTAGAGTCATAGCAGGTGAACATCCAGTTCTTTTCGGAGTTTTGATCTGGGTGGGTGAGGATTACGAGGCCAATTGGGAGGGAACCACAACCACTTGGCAGTCCTTTTCTGAGACATATCCAACATATATCAATCAATGATCATATAGGATTTACTGCAAGAGATGCACTGTTTCAAGTGCGCCCAGGTGGTAGAAACAACAAAGGACTGATTGATTCCGTTTATCCTTTTGACTCAAGCAGATCAGTAAACGAAAAATCACTGTTTTGTAAAGATTTTGAGTTCCTCGCTATCCCCTGCTGTTGAGGATCGGCTTGCACCCAACCAATGAAGCTGACCCCCAAATCAAAATGCATGCTGCTGACCCTGTGGACCGAGCTGACCGAGCTGACCCACGGTGTCCGGATCGCACGAGGACCACCTCGATGAGACACACAGTCCCTGGATATTCCAATGTGAGCCGCCACAATGAGCCACTTGACCTCTGTCGTTTGGGAGGGATTCTTGGATACGATACTACCAATTATCACCACGCCATGCTGTGGGAGGGATGCGGGTTTGTCAAGTTGCACATGGAATGTCAAGGAAATCAGCCCATTCAGGAGCCTTGTGACGATCTTCCAATCCGCACGTGGCATCAAGCCAGTCAGGTTCTAAGAAGCAGCGGTGGGTCGTGTGGGGGGACTTGGTGGTGCACGCGACGTGAGGGACGCCGTGGTGTCGCGGCGGGACTTCTTGGAGTCCTACGACGAGCCTTGGGTGTCCTGTGTGAAGGCGAAGGCTCTTGGAGTGATGTGCGCCTATAACCAGGCGCGGCTGCTGGCGCGGCTGCTGGCGTGGAAATGGGGTGTGGAAAGCGCAGTCTCCCGAAGTCGTGGGGCTGTTCACAGCTGGAGTTGGAGGGTGGAACCGCTGGTGGAGAGAGAAAGATCTTACTAACACATAAAAAAAAAGCCATAAACAACAAACACATCTTCCCCACAACTATCCCTGCCCCCCTAACAAGGACATTCTGGGGCCTTTAAATCAGTGCAGGGAGATTTGTTGATCATAGGTCAACATGATCTAGCGCACTTCGTCCCTAGAGCTCCAAGGACCGTTTCGAAGGTGGGACTGGGGTGGGTCGATCGAGGGTCCAAATATGTCCAAATACCAGGTACTTGGAGCCGGGGTGTCAGAACGGAGGGCCACTCCGACCGTTTGAACACCAGGTGAACGGGGTGCCCTCCTGTGGCAACCAGCGGCTCCTGCGCAAGCTGCTGCGAGAGAAGTGGGGCTTCGAAGGGGTCGTCGTCACGGATTGCGACTCGATCTCTGAGCCCTAGCTGCAGGACCAGGCCAAGGCGCAGGTTTGTTGCGTGGGTTTGGGCAGTTTGGGAATCGCTACTTGGGAGGGTTTGCCTCGTCACCTTGGACGTTTTGAGTGGGGATGTTTGCTCGTTGGCTCGTGCTGGGCTTCGTTTCACCTCAGGACATGTATGCACTGCAGAAGTACCGTTCCACTCCGAGCGCCACCATCCGGGCGGCTCTGGCCGCTGGCACAGATGTCTCCTGCAGCCCAGGACGGGAACGTTTCGGGGGGGAGGGAGTTTCAGTGGTCTGGCGGAACTCCGCGTGGCGAAACGAGGATGGCACTGGAATGTATGCCTGCGTACATTGACCATCATTGAATATTGAAGGATCATCTCAAATATGGCATGGAGTGTTTGGGCATGGTGTGGCTAGGGAAATTAGAGGCTTCAGTGGCTGGGTGGAATTCGAAGTTTACAAAAAACGCTGCTTGAAATCCATGTGGAGAAGCTTTTTGAAATCGGGTGAGCCCTCGACGCTCTTGGAGGCCCTTGGTTGTCCCATCTCCCCTTGGGGGGGCCCGACCGCCGCGCAAAATCCGCGCCTGCTGCGAGAGCGCCGTGTGTCGAGCGCGGTGTGTCGAGGCTTCTTCAAGCAGCACGCCCATCCGAGCATGGATGGTTTGCTCACGCAAGCTGTGAAGGATGCCCTGGGCGTGCGATTCCGCCTGGGCGAGCAGCGAGGATGAAGGAATTGGGTGGGATGAATGCAGAATGAACGGTGGAACCGGCTCGGATCTTGGAAGCTGACAAGCATTTTTTCGTTAAAGGAACATCAGCATATATATATATACACGTACCCTGGGAGTCAAAGACTATAAAAAGAATGGTCTTTAGGGGAACTGAAAGGGAACTTCCTTTACTCCAGCCAGTCAAAATATAGTCTTTGGACTTCTAGAGTATATACAGTATATATATATGTCATATGAGTGCCAGGAGCCATGCAATCCACGAAA